CTTGTTGGATCAGTGGCATGTTTGATCAATCAGTTTACTCTGTTGTGTGTGCCTCCTTGAAGCTAAAAGGAAAAAAAAAAGTATTTAATAACGTCACTGTCATTCTGCTAAAAAAATACACGAAACGTTGCTGATTCACAGAAGGCGATTGAGTTAGTCTGTTGCTCAACGATTTTTTCCGCAGATGTATAAAAACTATTGATTGAAATTAGTTCTTTCGAGCAGGATAATTAAACGTTTAACTAAGACTTTGACGATTTTTTTCTGGATATCATTTACTTTAAAAAACATTTTCTAGCCTCTGGTATCATATTTCAAGTGCTTTTCTTTGACAACAAACTAGCCGGGAAAATCAGTGTGAAAGGAACCACAATTAGGCATCCTTTTTTTATTATTAAATACTCAAAGTTGATTTTTTTTTTCTGTCTTAGTCTTTGGCTTCGGTTTGAAAATTGATCTAGATTTGACTCTTTTTTTGAAACAGCTACATATTAAAACAATACGCTGGACATGTAGGAAAACTTTAGTAATATTTACCACTTCAAGGATATATAAGATTTATTTTTGTATTCACATAGCTTTGAGAATTTGATACTTAAGAAATCAACCATTTACCATCGATTTGTAACCTAGTAATCTGTCTTTGCTTTTCATACATGTTTGCGTTGGAGTATCTGTTGTTTACCAACAGATGAAACTTGAAACATGCAAAACGTATTTCAAATCAAAACAAGTGTCCAGGTTTAGGAAATAGGTCGGCCGAGTGATTCTAAAATCTCATGTTTGTTTACCTTGTTTGACGTAACTCTACAGGATCGAGAAAAAGCAATCTTGATTTGTTTTTGTTGCGCCATGACGAAGGGAAATTAAAAAGACTTGTTTACTCGTACGTACAGACCGATGTCATCGAAATTGTCATTTGGAACACCAGAATATTGAAAGAGACTTTCTCGTTTTTGTTCTTTCTCTTTGTTTCCAATCTCAGTACAGTATTGCTATGTCAAGTAGTGTGATTTTACATTTTTTTTCCTCTCGCCTTTATTTGCTTGAAGATAGAATTGCAAGAGATAAACTTTGAGAAGTTAATATGACGTATATTCTCGATCGAGTGAAGAAGCCATTGCAATTGTTAGTCCGAATAGCTTGTTCACTTTCGTTCTGCGGACAGCCGGATGTAGGTCAGTTAATTTTATCGCGGAGATTAAAACGTTTTGCAGGTATCAATGCCGCGGATCTAACAACGCTTTTATTACAAGGGTGAATAACAAATGATAACATCATGACAGGAACGACAGAGAGCTAAATTAAATGAGGTAAATTGGCTGATCAACGCCTACGGAGAATTGAATTCTTCAATTTAATTACGGCACTATTTTGATGACCAAGAACGCGAAGAAAGCGACACGTTTGTCTAGTTTCATGGCATCGACCAAAAATATCCACCGCGATTCAGTATGGGTATTTATTTTGAATAATATCCCGCTAGCGTCGATGCATTCGTTTTCAAGTACAGGAAAAAGACAACGAGTTTCATTCAGAGCCTGAGGTTTGTAGCTGAGGCCGTTGAAAGAGCTATACGTTTTCTGTCATAGGAAAAATTGATATAAAATTCTAACTGAAGGAAATTTGCACTACAGTTACCAGAAGGTAAGCTGCACTGATGGATTTGGTTTTACTACTGATACTATCATGATAGCAATTTTTATCTTTTTGTACTCAGACATCACATGGTAGCATCATTTCGAAGCATTGTAGTAAACGCTCGCAGCTCAGTGCTAGTCGAAGCAATGAAATTTCGAACAAGGATCATACGAAAATGATAGCAAAATTCCGACTGTCTTCGTCAAACAAAGACGCTCTTTGCTAGTGGCCGTGTTAACAGTTTCAGTTAATTGAAACTTAAAAACGTCTGAAAGAAAAATTATGGCGTGGAAGCCGCGCAAAATAATGCCGTGTTTGTAGAAGACGGCCACTCCTCTCTCATGTTATTAAGGTCTTCCTTTCCCTTTGAGGAGAACTTAATTACGCTGTTAACGAAGCTTTGATAACGTAAGTAAAAAAGGGAATACTCGATACTTTACGAAACAGAGACACAAAATAGGCTGGACTAATTAAATATGTCGGATTGCAGGTAATTAAAATTCAGATTAGGATCCCAAGATTTTTCATAAGTGACTGACCGTATTAGCAAACCATAGGCAACTGCAGCTTGTGTCAGCAGTTCAATGCCGGGTTCGCCACTTGCTCTATAACTTATTGTCATTTTTCTGATGTCCACCGCGAAAAAAAAAAAAAAAAAGCCTGAAATAGTCATTTAACTTTTGTTAAAACATGAAAGATGACTAACTTTGTTTTGTTCAGCTGAACGTAAACACAATCTTGACATGCTCTGTTATAGCATAGCGGCCTCCATGCCATCATGTAATATATTGCAGTTTTCCAATCCCCTCCCCAGCCTAACCTCTCTTTCGAGGCCACGCCCTCATAACTTTTTTTTTTTCAGCCAAACTACCTTAAGCCTGACGCAATCTATACCAGTGGATTTTCTTCCGTACTACAGTAGTCTGGAATTAGCACACAAAATCACATACAGTATTCTGACGAGCTTTTCGGTGGAAAATCTAACTGGAGATTGACCTAATTAAGAATCGTAACTATTACAATACTGATAATACGGGTACAAAAGAAATTAGTTGTAAGCCGATTAGGGCTTTCCGCAAGTTGCTCGGCAACTTTTTGGCGCTCGCTTCTCGTATTTCGAGCCACTATTTTCGTTTGAGCAACTTTGTGCATTCTGAGCAATTTGTAGTTTTCTACCAATTCTGAGAATTCGGGGCAGCTTTTAGCGCTTAAATTGGCCTTGCTTGGGCAAATAAAGGACGAGAGCAACAAAACTTTTTTGTTTTTTTTAGCAACTTTTGAGCCGACTTTTTGAGACTTTTTGGGAAATCTCGAGCAACTTGTGGAAAGCCCTCACTGGCACTCTCCTTGAAGAAAACATGCCAAAGAGAAGCCAAACTAAACAAAAGAGGAAACGTCTTTAACACAAACAAACCTCCCTGTACGCCACAGGAAGTTTCAGAGAGCCGTTTTTTGATATCAGTGACTGATTTTCATTCGAGAAGAAAGCAGAAGTCAAAAAGGCTTTTCTCCTACTTTCAACTGTAAGGTTACCGTTTTAGAGTACCTTTAGACATGTCTCGCCTCCAAGCGGTGTAGCGCTAGCGCGTCCGATTTAAACTGTAGATACGTAAATCCCTATATCAAATTAAAGCTTATAGAGATGGCCATCACACTTCCAAGAATTTTGAAATAAAATGAATTGTGGAATTTTTCATGAGCTCTAAAAGTGACCGTCAGAATCATCTTTTTGGTCCCCGGCCTTTTGAAAGCTACAAGTCAAAGGTAGTCAGTGTTTGTATGCCCTCAAATTTGCTAATGGGCAGTAGCTAGTTTGACATATAGACAACAAAAACATGTCTGCGAATTTATTTCTAGATAGTTTTTCTCCGAGAGCGATTTTTCTACCATCAATCCATATTTTTTTAAATCCTATTTCGAAAATGTTCTGTAGCTTTTCACTGAAGTTGAATTCGGCAAATCGCAGACATTTTGTTTTAGCGCTTTGGGTCCGGAAACTGAGGGACAAATTAAATAAGCGAAAACCTAAATTCGCTTTGACTTGAAGCTTTCAAAATTCGTAAAAAATTCGACAATTTATTTCATTTTAAAGCTCTTGGTTTAGTTTGATAGCCAGCTCTATAAGCTTTAATTTGATGTGGGGTTTAGGTATTTACAAGAGAAAATGTATCTACAGTTCAAGCCGGACTTGCTACATTGGACGTGAGACACCTGACTGAAGGTATACGGTAACGTTAACAGAATGGAATCCCGATTTCTCCCTCACCCCTAAGTCAAACACAGTTTTCCCCCGCCGATTTCACCAGCTACCAGATTTTTCCATTCGGAGGTTCGAGAAAGCAATATGAAACTTAAACAGCTTTTGCTTTTTGCCGCGGAAGGGCGTCATGCGAAAGATTGATCGAATCTTTATCGCAATATATAAACAATAACCTCCATTGGGCCCGAAAATATGCTTGGATATTTGTCCGCGGACATTACCTGTTCCGAGAAAAACTGAGAGCGTTGCTCGAAGAAAACTGAGAGCTTTGAGGAACAGATAGTGCCCAAGGACAAATATCCGAGCATATTTTCGCGCCAAATGGAGGCTATTGTGTTTATTATTCTTCAAATATTTTTCGTAACACGCGCAGTTTTGGAAATGGAGAAATACTGATCGTCCGAATATTCCTCAGTTTTAGCTAGGGCATATATTAGACACGTGAGACGTTGAGACCAATTGCGTGCGAGCGAAAATATTTGATGGATTATAAATGCATATATTTTTCCACAAAATCTGTGCAGAAGCAGATGATTAGAAAGGAGTAATGTTTGACCAAGGACATCCCCAGGCCCTGCAGGTTGGGGATTGTGCGTGGGGCCAGTTACCCCACCCACCTAGAACTCATTATATTAAGCCCCCGGGCTACTTTGTGCCATATGGTTCAAGGCGCAAAAAGGCCTTAGTAACTTTTAATAAATGTCAATTGTTACTTAAATCTTTTTTTAATTAAAATCTTATTGTGGCTCCTTTTTTTGCTTGATATTTTTCAGTATATATTTCGACTTCATAGCAGGAGATTTTAGGAGGTAAGTTACTTGTTGTAAATCTGATCTCGTGTCTTATACAAGGGGCAGTGGGCAAATGTTCCTTCTAAAACCGTGGGTGACGCAAAATTTTCGTTGAATTTCGCGAGTCTCGTAGCCTTTTTTAGCGGTTACGCGCGTCCAACATTCTCGATTTTTTTTTTTTTTNATCTAGAAATGTATGCTTAACGTTATGGAGCCGCAAAGGTATCATTAATTACACCCTGGAGAATGAGGCTTAAAGAGAATAAGTGTTTTCTTTTCTTTTATTTCTCTTTTTTTTTTTTTTTTTTTTTACTCAGCTGTTTTCTTGCAGGGCTAGGAAATTCTCGAAGTCTCGATTTGTTTGTTTTCATAAATGTCGTCTGAACGTCTTACAGTCTTAACGTCTCGCGTTCGCATTTCAAACACTTTCAAGTCCCGATCTCGCAATTCCTCAAAAAACAGTGTCTCGCTCTCCCAAAGAAAACCGCCGGTGTAGTCTTATCGTAAAATTCCGCATGTACCTTTCAACATCCCTTTATAGACAACCGTATGGTGTATACTACTTTGTCCCTAGATGGTGAATGAGCAAAACCCAAATGAGATTTAAAAAAGGCCGGGAACGACTAATCGATTTAGGGGGCGTTTTATTTCAGGGAGAATTATTCGACCCTGTACATCAGCAGTCTAGCCAACGACTGATCTGTACCGAAATTAATCGGGAATTTTCTAAAATTGTCTTATCATAACAAGCGTGATATTCGCGTATCGTCAAAGGCCACTAACCCGTTTTGTTGTTGTCATAAAGTTTGATTACATTTTTCTGATAACTGCGACACCATCATGTGTAAGCCGGTAGGCGGGAAAATCTCCTTATTGGGACATAAAGCGTTGATGTTTGGCCATTACTGAAACAGATGGAGTCGCCTAAGATTACAATTCTTTATTTGGCGACCCAAGCTGAATCAAAAATATGCCAGTTTACTCGAGATAAGCTAGGCTACTGCACTTGCAAAGAGCGATACTCCCTTAAAGTGGTCCGCAGAGTAAAATTGAAGTCAATAACTTTTAACAGATAAACACAGGAAATCCGGTTTATTGGTTCTTATCATACCGAAGGCATACTAGACAGTGTCGGGTCAGAAGGCCTGGCGCTAGTAAGTTTTTTGATGGGCTTCAGCAGCACACGAATGACTCATCAGTCAAATCTGTGTATCTTAAGCGTCCGTAGCTCACATTGAGTGAAGAACGCGCTGCTTTGCATCACAAGTGGTAGGTTACACATAAACAACATACACATCAGGTTGTTAGGATCAAATTGTGACTGTATTTATTTGTTTTGTGAGTCCATGCATGCGGGTTCCCTCCTGAGTAGGAAGTTGAAAGTCTAACTAGTTCTTACATGCAGGGATTAACATTCAATAACCTGACACGCAACATGTCTGTCCTTTGAATCAAACTGACCAGGGCTTGCGCTCCAGGCAAGTGCATAAGATTTATCTAGCTTAAAGATACAGGATCTGTTAGGTACCAAGTCCAGTTGACTGTGGAATTCATTTAACAAAACACTCTATGATTCTTATTGCACTGCGTCGATACATTATTGTTTTCGTCATTTCATTCAATCTTTTCAAGCTATATGTTCGTTGTGTCAATACATACAAACAGCGTGAACCGACAGATTTGAACAATGAAAAAATGTCTCGCTCTACTTGGAAACCTTTTTGCAATTCCGCCAAACTGCTGGAGGTCACAATAAAAAAGTGGCCATCTTAAACATTTATAACTGTTTCAGTCTTCGTGCAAGTGGCTAAAAGTGTTTTTTAGGTAACGTGCTAATTTAGCAACATCTCATTTTTTATTGCCACGAAGGGTATATAATCCGCGTGTTTCGACGTGCTATGGGATAAGACATCGAGTTATTTGATAATTGAGATTCATTGCTTATTTTTGGCCGGAGGCAAAGCAAGCCTGATATTTGTATGTTGCATCGCAGTGGGGAACGGGTATGGTTGTCAGAACTTCAATGAATCTCGTCAACAACTTAGCACCGAACATAAATACCGAATATGATTAAAGTTGAAATCGAACAGGTAAGCCTTACCTGTGTTAAAAAACCTGTTCAGAATTAACTTTCAGAGTTGCGGAGAGTGAATTTTTACAACATATCTGTGATCGGCAATTCTTTTCATTTCTAAGTTTGAAAGCAATTAAAACATCCTCGTTGCTTAATTTGTTATTTTTTAGTATTTTTTCAGATCTGATATTGTTTTTACGGGTCTTGAAGTGGGATCTGGCATTAATTTTCACATCTCACATCAAAAGTTTGGAATTTTTGTTTTTAACTCTGGGGAAAGTCATCTGAAGAGCTTCACAAAACTGTTTTTATCAACAACTGTTTGTTTTCATCAACAAACTCATTCACGCTCAGAGCAAACTAGAATAGTTAAAATATGTCAGCTTTCCAGGTAATAAACACTTTTAGCACCCAGAAAATAACTACATATCTGATAACCACACCATTTAATTCGTGTCAAACACAATTCGTGTTAAACGATAAGGGAAAAATTTTGATGAAAAGAAATGGTGCCCATCTGTCGCGAAATATAAAAAGCCCGATAATTTATGGCACCTGTGAAATGTACAAAACAATAGAAGATGCAGAGAAGCTCTCACAGTAAAGAAAAAAGTAGAGCATAAGTTGTAATTTCACTTCTCAGCGCGTTCTCAAGTCAAAACAATTGAAGGACTTTTTCAGTCCCCCTAAACTTTCCTTTCATGTCGTGACTCAACGTGACGTGTTCAAAGGGTTTGAATTTTTATTATTATCGAGCATAGTAGATAAGAGAGATAGGCAAAGGTCACAGTAAAACAATTCGAATGGCTTTGAACATACGAACGATGTCTAAAAGCTCAAAGCTATCATCAGTTGAAGAGAAAACTCTTCTTAGTCTGTAATCAGCTCCCGAGCAGCTGGAAATCTTGATATTTGGTCAATTCTGTTTAGGTTAACGATTGTTCATATTGATGTTTATATGTAAAATTGCATTTTTAAACTGACCAGTTTCTGCAATAAGACCTTGAAAAGAATCTCGTTTAGCTCGTTTTGTTGCTGCAGAATATGCAAATATGTTGTAGAAACCCTCGTTTTCAGTTCATAATGTAAATTCTTGATGCAAATTATATTATACGTGTACTCAGCTCTTTCGCACCTAAGAAATGAAATAAACACTTTAAAACACTGACTTTGGTCTATGCAAACACAACTTGAGTATGGAGGCATAAATGTTAAATAATAACTGTGTGCTAAAAGCATATATTGTTATAAAAATAGCAAAAAACAAAAACAACAAATTTACTGCACAGTTGTAATGCTCGTGCTTTTTCTAGCTTTTACTGCTTAATAATATTTCTAAGTATTTCCATTGTGGTTCAAATCTGATGTTTGTTTTTGTCCATTTTTCGAGAGCTAAGGTCACGCTTTTATGTTTTTCGGAATAATAAGTAACAATGAAAGGGAGATTAAAGACGGAAAGAAATACTGAAGCTATGGGTTGGTAAATTACTATCAGCTAAGCTGAATTCTCTTAATAATTTAAACAGAATGGCCGAAAGATTGGAGAAATTTTTCTAGTCGTCTGGCAAGGTGCGCGATTTATAAATAAAACGGAAAGCTGACCGAAGATAATAAAGGACACTGGACAAGAATAAATAATAATTATTCGTGTTTGTTAATCGCATGCATTGCTCAACCAAAGTCACTTTTTAGAAATCAATACTTCACTGGTGTTGTTTTGCATTAAGGGAGATTTTATTTTGTCAGTTTCCAAACTCAGACAGCTTTAAACTTCTCCCTAGAGAGACTGTCACAAATGTGCCAATACTGATGTTCATTGGTAGCGAACAATTTAATGTTAAGCGAACAGTATTAATTTCTCGGACTTAAGGACGAAGTTAAGGCTTTTGATTTTTTGATATCTTCCCACTACGATTTCTTTCCGGCCCGGTTGCTGGTGTTCAGCGTCAAGTCAGCCTTTGCAGTTCTTAATATATTGCCACTGGATCTATAAAGATTAAGATATTCTAATGGCATACAATAATTTTAGTAACATGAGGACGTATCTTGAAAGAAATGTGCTTTTCTGATAATTAATACTAGGTCATTTTAACAGTGATTCCGCAATTAAGCAGTCTCTTATGTGTTTGCTTTCATTAGTACAAAACGATTCTCGTTTTTGCAAACGAATTCAGCTGAACCAGTTTGTTTGTGTGAAAAACAATTTGCTTCTAAGAAAAATGTCCTACAGTGAGCCAAACAGAAGCCAAACCATTCACCCTTTCATTGTTAATAAGAGTCACTTTTTTCTTCGAGAGAGCGGCTGAAAACGACTTTTCCCACTTGAATCACAAATTGCCTTCACAGCATGAGCGCTTTCTCTCGTTGTCTGAGATTCAGATCTATTCAGATCTTTCGTGCTGTCAAGTTTCCGCTTATACTCCAAAAAACGATTGATCAGAGGGTATATGATGATATTGGTCTGTAATGGTTACAAATCCAAACGTGACGAGGCGTTCGAAGATGATTGTAAGTAGTATAGTAAGTTTAGTAAGGCTTCATTTGAGGGTTAAATTATAAGCTCTTAGCCTGCTAAGAAGCTCATGAAGT